AAAAGTCGTCAAGCACCTATTGCATCGCTTTCTTGGAAATGGTTATTGTGTGACTGTAGATAACTATTACATGTCACCCGAGCTTGCAGATTTACTTATAACCCAGAAAACAGATATTTATGGCACAGTAAGGATAAACAGACGAGATTTACCTACAGAATTCCCTAAAAGAAAATTACAAAAATGTCAAATCATAGCTTTTCAAAGAGGTAAGATTTTGTCTATAAGGTGGAAAGATAAGAAGGATGTGTGTTTGATGAGCAGTATTCATGATACTTCCATTGTCAGCCTCAAAAATAAAAAAAATGAAGACATACTCAAGTCGAAGATTGTTTCTGACTACAATCTAACTATGGGTGGTGTAGATCGCTGTGAACAGGAAATATCCTTTCATCCAACAATCCATCATAAAAAATATTATAAAAAGATATTTTTACATTTACTAGACAAGGTACTCTGGAACTCATATTTGCTCTATAAAAATGTAGTTGGGAAACATATTACATTTTTAGAATTTCGAATCCAAGTTTTTGTAGAACAGCTTTTACATAAATATGATCATGCAGCTTCTGGACAAAAGAATCTTGGTAGACCACCTACAATAGATAACCCTGCCTGTCTTACTGAATGACACTTTATGTCCCATATTCCTCCTACCTCCTGCAAAATGTGAGCCTACAAGATAATGCAAAGTTTATTGTTCAAAAAAGGATGAAAATGGGAAAAAGAAAATTAAGGAAACACGATTCTGGTGTAGTGATTGTGGAGTTGGTTTGTGCTTGGAAAAGTGTTTCCAATTGTACCACACAAGACTGAATTACTGAACTACTAATAGGTATTCACTTTTATTTATTTTTTAGAAAACAATTGATTTTTTCTTTTCATTTTTAGAAAATAATGCTCCACTAGAAGCGAACTTTACAACTGCAATGTTGAGTGACAGCTGCCTCAAGCATATATGCAGTGGCTACAAAATTAAAACAATTTTATCCATGTACTTCAAAATATCAATTTTTAATGACTAAGTATATTTTATTTTGTACTAAACATTTGATTTGTGCAATAAAAAAATTTGACAATTTGTGTACCCAAATCATCAAAATAACTTGACAGCTAAAGGGTTAAGTACTCTGTTTTGTTGTTGTACATTTGAATCCCAAACTTCTGCTTAGGTTTCCAGTAAAAGATTTTATTTTTTCATTGGATATTTTTGATAGCTTTTAATAATTTTCGAGTAGGTAAGTATTTGAATTTTGTTATGTTTGATTTTCTTTTAAGTATGGATCACCGACTTCAAACAGAAGAAAATAGATGCTAATGCCATCACTTTGCTAGATGAGCCAACCCAAAAAAAAAAAAAAAAAAAAAAAAAAAAAATGATAATGAAGCAATGCACTCAAGCATTTGCTTGTCAAAAGAGTTTTGAATTTTGCATAAAAGAAACTATTTCTGAATATATATCAGTGCCGCAATCAGTATATGCAGAAGATAACAAAAGTAGGGGAATGAGGGAAAGACCTCCTAATAAATAGTGATTAATATTGAAAGTTTCTGAATACTGGATTCACATAAACAAATGATGGTCAGCCTCGCTGTGTGATTTGTGGGAAAATGTTGACCAATAGTTCTATATTTTCTGCTAAACTGTGGCATCGTTTTGAGAGAAACAATTCTGAATTCAAAAATAAATTATCTGATTTTTTTAAGAGGAAGTCAAAAGAGATTTTAGCTTCACAGAAAACTATGATGACATTGACTAAGACCAATAATGGAAACGAAGTGAAAATCTCTTACATAATAAGCTACCATTTAACTCGAGTTGGGGAAGCTCCTACCTCTTATTAAGTTGTATACAACTGAAATTGTCAAGTGTTCTTGTAATGAAATAGCTACTAAGTTTGTCTCTTAAATTTTGTCAAATAACACGTTTGTTTGATGAATCAGTTATAAGGTATTTCTCCCACTTTTTTAGTGTGCCTTCGTGGTGTGGTGGTCTGCACACTGGGCTGGTATTCCAGAGGTTTGTGGTTCGATTCCGTGTGAAGGCTTTGCTAATTTTTCATCTTGCCTGCTTCCAAAAATATCTAATGTCTCTACAGAGATGCCCGAACTTAAAAAGGGTAGTGGATGATGATTCTCCTAACCCAGGATTTGGCGATTGGGTCCCCTAAAAACCCCAGTCACCCTTAAAAAAGGTATTTCTCCCACCTTACTAGCATGCCTTCGTGGTGTGGTGTTCTGTACGCTCAGCTGGTATTCAAGATGTCCGTGGTTCGATTCCCGCTAATTTTTCATCTTGTCTGCTTCCAAAAGTACTTGATATCCCAACACAGTGATATAGGTGATGATATGAAAGAAACACATTTCAGTCGCATGAGATATACTAAATTCACACTACAAATAGATGAATCGACTGACATTTTCAGGTTAGCAGTGTTAATGGTAATTGTACATTATACTTACTTACAAAGCTATCAAGAGGAGCTTCTTCTTTGCAAATCACTACTAACCAGCATATCAGAAGGTGAAATAATTAATCTTTCGGACAAATTCTGTTTATAAAATGAAGTACTGTGGGAAAACTACGTAGATACATGCATTGATGTTGCAAAGACAATGACTAATCACAAAGCAGGAGCCATTATTAAATTTAAAGATAAAGCAAATAATTGTAGCAGCAGCCATTGCTAGCCTCAAATTACGTCTGAGCTTATGACAATGTTGAGTGATACTATAAAAATTGTAAACAAAATAAAATTACGACCACTTAAAGGAGCCTCTTCGAATTTATGTGTGAAAATATGGGAAGCCACAAGGACTCTCTCCTGCTCCCACTAAAGTAAGGTAGTTGTCTCAAGGTAAAGTGCTGATACATTTGGTAGAATTGTATGCAGAGATAGAAGCAGTTTTGATGGACCATAATCCCTTGTGACATTTTTAAATGTTGAAGCCTTGGTATGTTAACTGGCATATTTTGTGGATATTTTTTTCAAAATAAACAAAACGATGCAAAGAAACAAAATGTCACGCCTTTTTTTTATATATATATACAAATGGCAAAGTATCTTCTTCTAAGAGAAAACTTATGTTGGAGTGCATGAAAAAAGAAGATATGGATTAATACCCTGTTACAGAGAGCTTCTTGAGTAACGATAATATCAAGATTAAAGAAAAAATACCGAAAAATGTTGATGAGTTGCATCTTGAAACTCTGAAAGACTCATCTGAACATAGCTCAAGAAAAGGTGCTTGATAATTTTAATTGGGTTCTGAATGTGTTTAGCATGAACAAAAGCATAAATAATAAAGCATAACACCCAGTATAAAGTCAGAAGAATGCAAGGCTCTTATAATAGCATTGACATCTCACAAAAAACTGAAAATCATGTTTCAAAACCAGAGTCTACTGAAGTTTGGCTGCATTTACAAGATGAATTCAAAAGCTTGTCTGAAAAAGCAAAATTATTATTGTTTCTTTTTTCAACTACATATCTCTATGAAGTGGGATTCTTCACCTATACAAGTAGTAAAACAAACATACAGAAACCACTTAATGCAGAACCATATATTCACTGCAATTTTCATTAATTGAACCTAATAGGAAACGTGTGTCAAAAATGCAATTACACATGTCCACTTTACACTATTTTTAAACACTGCCTGATGATTTTTATTGGGTTCAAGCTTGTAGGACATAAAAAAGGCCTAAGAGGCTCTATCACCATAAGAGGTATCTCCATGTCATGATCATAAGAGGCATCCAATATTGATTCTGAAAAGGGCTCCATTAGTCAAAAAAATTTAAACCATTGGTATAAGGTTATAAGAGAAATCTATTGTATGGGAATTCAAATGGTCTTTAAAATTCATCTAAATCAAGTGAAATATTTGCAGTATAGCAGGTAACTAACTGTATCTTGAAACAATAGATATGAAATGCTAAATTTCTTGCCAAGAATCTTTTCAGGTCTTTCATAATATTTTCGCTATATTTAGCTTATGTAAAAGGCCTAAATGTTCTGCTTCCAGATTTCATACCTTTAAAGGAGTTTCACTCCAATAATGATGTATTTATTGCTCAAAACTGAAAATATTGGTTGCCCGTTAGTTGATTAATTTATTCAGTTCAATATGGTTTTATCAGAAAATTATGCATTTAGCGGAAATGCTAATCCATCACACACTATGATTAATACTGAAGTTAATATATATACAGCTGTGTCTTTGCATTCTGCATTTTTCTGAGGTATTCAGTTTTTAAGTATAAGCTATAACATCCATCTTTCGGATGTCTGCCTTATGTATTTAAACATCTGTCTGATGGTGGTTTGATCAAAATGAATTTTTGAAGATGTTTATCTGAGTCTTCATGGCATGTAATATGTATTTTCAAGAAGCCGTCCTTGATTCATGTTTATAATCGCAGTGACTGTACAACCAGTGCAGCTTTTTGGATGCGTGAAATTGCTTCTCATATAACACAGTATTTAATGACATGTGCATGGTGATGGCTTTTAGAATTGCTTACAAAATTCATTTCAACCCATAACGAATTTGATCCTTTAAATATCAAATTTGACTTGAACCCCCCACCCCAAATTTTTTTTCCAGTGGAATTTTTTTCCTGTATTGAAAGTACTTTCCTCAAATTTAGAGATATGAAGGAACAAAGCAATCATTTCCATGACAACAACTGAGATGTTGGGTATGACATGCATGCACATCATATGCTCCATGGCCTTTTCTGTTGCATATTTTGGTGCATACTGTATAGTGAAACACATATTTTAAATTGAAATATTTAATATGCATTTGATTGAATGATTATGCAAGTAAATTGTATTAGTGCATCTGTCATTGTATACATATAAATATTGTAATTTCGTTCTTTTCTCTTCATCTGTGGCCTAAAAAATGTGCATTTTTTGACTGTTTTAATTTAAATGTATTTTTAGTTTTCATTTAAATTATTATTATTATTATTATTATTATTATTTTAGGTGTGGCAGACTGAAGAAGCTTGTTCTGGCTAATAACCGTCTAATAACTTTGCCAGAAGCTATACATCTTCTTACAGATCTGGAAGTTTTAGATCTACATGGTAATCCTGATTTAATTATGCCCCCAAAGCCAGCAGAATTACAGCTTGGTAGTGGTTCTGAGTATTATAATATTGACTTTTCACTCAGTACCCAACTGCGCTTAGCTGGAGCTACCACAAATAATCCTGTAACAGCACCAGGTATTTTTCATTTCAATATTTTATCAATAAAGATATCTTGTGCATGTGATTTAATACAAGAGTAGCAATAAGGGGAAATATGACCATTTCTTACCACTGGTTTCAGTCTTATCTGTGTACTATATTTAATAATTTGTGTAATGAAACTTTTGTTTATGTTTCATTTAGTGTATGAGGAGGTACTAAAATATCTTTACATTTTTAATCTGAAAGCTTGTATCAGACTGCCTGATAAAATGAAGATACTGTTGTTATTTAAAACTAACTCAGAATTGTTCTTGGAATTGTTCATTGTTCAATCCATTGTTCTTGGGAATTTGTAAATATATTTAATTAATCTTGCTGATTAATTACTGAGCTCAAAATAATCCTGAGTATTGAAAAACCAGAATTTTTTAATTATATATCTTTAAACAAAATTTTAAAAATAATTTTTTAAAAAATTCCCATTAACCTGGAAAGTCGGAGAAATGAAACATGATCAAGGAGAATGTAATTTGTTTCCAGAAGAGGCAGATAAAATCAGAAAATTGGGAAGTTTAAATATATACTCTATTAGCCATTAAAATTGCAATACCAGGAAGGAATGATCTGGCAAACATCAAAAATCACATGAAAAGAATAAGAAGTTGGGATATGAAAATGATTAGTATTTCAGCACATTTAGACGATGCAGGAGGGAGAAATGATATCTGAAGCAGTGCATAGAAGAAAAGTTGTGTAGTGGATTTCTCATTCGGAAAGTGCTTTGTGAGGTCAGAGTTTGCTCGAAATATCCTGTTATATCTCGAATAAGAAGACACATTTACCAGCAAGTGTCGGAATTCGATAGAGGCAGGATTATTGTCAGTCGAGAGTGTGGATTATATTATGTGATATCGCCCATCACACTGGTCGACATCCAACCACTGTCATGCAAATATGGAATCAATGGGTCGCTGAGGGTCATATGGTATGCAGGATCTCAATGCCTTCCCATGACTAATGCCCAAAAAGACAGATATATTGTGAGGTCATCCCTACAAAACATACAACCACATCACGGTCCATTAGTCAGGAAATAGTCAAGTTTACATCCCACCCAGTATCTGCTCTTACGATGCATTGATGTTTGCAGCAATGTCGACTATCAGTACAGCGACCATTATTTCGATTTCCCTTAACAATGCAGCATAGAGAGAGGTGACGACTCGGGTGCACCAATCGACGGAGCTGGATACAGGAGTGTCACAATGTCATCTTTTCAGACAGAATCCGGTTCTGCATGCTGTATTTTGATGGTCGTATAGGTGTCTGGAGGCTCCAAAGAGACCACATATCTTCTGCTTGCATTTGATATCAGCATAGAAGCTGTGCACCTGGTGTGATGGTTTGGACAGCCATTGGGTACTCAACCCGGTCAGATGGACATAATTTGATCAGAGATCAGTACATTTCTGGCATCTTATGTACAATGGTTATGCCCTATCTTCGAGGTCTGCCAAACGCCATCTTCCAACAAGATAATGCAAGACCGCTCGTTGCACTTCGTGTTCTGACCTTCCTCAGTAAGCAGAGTATTCGATTGCTGCCCTGGCATGCACAATCTCTAGTCTGTCACCTACTGAGGTCATGGGTTGCTGAGAGACTGGCCTGGCACCCTTCTCCAACTAATACAGTTAATGAAGTGTAGCATAGACTTGAAGCTGCATGGAATGAGTTACCTGTTTCTGTCATCCAAGCCCAGTTCAGCTCCATGCCTAACTGGATAAGGGCCGTTTTGTTTCTACTAATTTTGGATCCTCGTAAACCCCCAAACTGCTTACAAATTTAATCATTTTATCTTCATACCATACTGTTTACGTACAGTAAAGATCTTTTTTGGATTTGCTTTCTTTCATGGTGTTGCAATTTTAATGGCCAGCAGTATATATACACTCATATATATATATTTGGCTCACTTCTTTCAAATAATTAAAAGTTCATATTTTAGATAAGATACAACAATCAAAAACTGTATCTTTATAAAGAGAGCAAATGAGAAGTCACCGTATTTTTTTTTTTTTTTTTTCTGCAGAAAGTGTTTTACTTGCTTCATATGCTATAATCAAATTATAAATCTAATCTCCAGCTGTCACCGATTTATTCTTTCTTGTTCTCTATAGAAATATAATTAGCTATTCTATCCCTCTTTTCAAAATACAGTTTGCCTTAAAAAATATATGAGGTAATTAAAAAGTAGTTATGCTGTGTGATTATTTATTATAATAAATAATTGTATTAATATCAATTATTTATCAAGCTCATGATATTCAGAGATATTTTGAAATACCAGAAGAATATTTGTACCAGAGTGCATACAGACCTTAAGAGCCCTTAGGTTTTTGAGAATCGATTTTCGGTTCTTTTAAAAGTCCTTAATCTTGGCCAAAATGAGTACAAGGTCCGTAATTATAACCATCTAAAATTTCTAATCTTGGCCAAAATCAGTACAAGGTCCGTAATTATAACCATCTGAAATTTCTGTCTGTTTTTGCCACTGCCATTTTGAGTGCTAATTAACATTTTAGAGGAATATTTTTGATGATTCACTGATAATTATGGTTATCTTATGAATTGGTTCCTGGGTTATAATTTGTTCCTATTTCTAATATAAAATGGTAAGATACTCGAGTTTCTGGGCTAGAAGTGCCAATAAGCATTTTGAAATTATTTCATTTTTTCTAATGAAGAACTCTTAAACAACATTTTTCTTTTGGAGATGTGAATTCTTTTATTAAACAGTTCTAAATTTGGCTACTTATCAACATTTTGGTGATTTTAAGATCAGTTTCTACAGAAAACTTATAATTCCGAGATCTGGGAGTTTTTCGATTTTTTTTTTAAACATTGTAACATTGGTAAATTTCATTAAAATAGTGGTAATATATTGAAATTATAGTTAAAAAATAACATTGAAATAAAATGTTTTTATTTTTAGCTATCATATTATGAATTTTTGTTTTGGCCACATACACTAGATTTTGAATCTGAAAAATAAACAAGATATAATGCTATAAAACACGGTTTATGAAACATTTCTTAACAAAAGCAAAATAGCTAAGTAATTTAAAAATGTCTTTTTTTTTTTTTTTTTCCTTGACAAGAGTTTTTTCTATGTAATCGTCTCAGAATATTAAGAATTCTCAATTTGCATCAGTTTTCTTTATAAAATTAATTTTACACTTTTTTCCTCTGATTTTTTTTCTTTCCCAAAATATTTCTGGCTTTTTACTGTTACAGAATTGGTATGGGTAATTTTTCTTTAGGATTTTAGACATTAAGCTTGGAACATTTAGATGATTCTGAAGATTCCAGAAAGATTCTTCCTAAGATTCTAGAAGATTCCAGAAAAATGTGACAAAATGAAAAATATGTAATATCTCCATGGTATTAACACATAATGGATACAGAAAGTTGTTTTCAATGAATTTCTTATTTCTTGGAGAATTTCTGGAAGAATAAAAATATAATACAGTACAAAGTCCGTAATCCAGACGTCCATCATCCGGAATGATCCATAATCCAGATCTCAAAGCCTCAAACTTTTTTTTTTTTTTTGTGTGTGTGTGTATGCGCGTTTAATGTATAATGGATGGTATAGGCTAGGCTAAAATTACCTTTAATGATTCAAAGGCATTTCAGTTAATGTGACAGATTGTGCTGTTCCTTAATCTTCTAATTGGATCCGGCTTATTATTTTTTTCAGACTGTTAGAGCAATTTTATAAAAATTAAGCTTGAACTTTCGATTATGTCAAACAGATTTTCAATTCTGGTGCTGCTAAAGGATCTACAAAGCGAAAGCATGTTCTGATGTCCATCAAACAAAAAGTAAAATTGCTGCAAAAATGGATAAAGGCATCCGTCTCAAAATTATGCAAAGAGTATGACATTTGGAAAGTCAACTGTGTATGACATAAGCAAAAAGAAAAAGGAACTTTTTGAATTTTTTGTAGATTCCGACACCCTACTTGCAATGAATAACAGAAAAAGGATTTGTTATGCTAAAAGTAATGATTTAATGGGTCAGACAGCATCGCAGCGAGGGTGTGCCATTGACGGGTCCAGTGCTAATGGCTCAAGCCAAATTATTTCATGAAAAAATGAACTTAAACACTGAATGCACATGTTCGACAAGGTTGGTTAACCAAATTTAAAAATTGTCATGGTATGAGACAATTAAAAATTTCAGGTGGAAAAGCTTCAGCTGATACTGAAGCTGCTGAACAATTTGCAGATGAATTCATTTACTACTGAGCAGTTATCTCCAGAACAAATTTCCAACGCTGATGAAACTGGTCTTTTCTGGCAATATGTACAGCGAAATACCGTGGCAACCTCTACAGAAAAGGCTCCAACTGGTGTCAAAGATTCCAGACTAACAATTTTAGCATGCACAAATGCTGCAGTAACGCACAAGTGCAAACTTTTCGTAATCAGAAAACTTGCACGACCTCAAGCATTTAAAGGAGTAATGATTTTCCCCATTATCTATCGCTCAAATAAAAGAGCATGGATGACACAAGCGTTGCTGAGTGTTTGGTTTGAAAATCATTTTATACCCAAGGCTCGCCGACATTTGAATTTGGTTGGTTTACCTGATGATTTAAAAATAGTCCTGATTGTTGACAACTGCTCAGCACATACTTCACTTTTTAGTGAAAGCACATACTTCAAGTTTTAGTGAAAGATAACGTGTCCGTATTATTTTTCTCTCCAAATTGTACATCTATCATTCAGCCTATGGATATGGGAATAGTGCACACGCTGAAATGCAAATATAAAGTAGCATTTTTTAAATCTATGTTAAATTTCTTGAACAATGGCAAGACTATTCAAGACTTGTTGAAATTTTTAGGAGAAAATCTGCTGTGTGGAGCATCGCAAGATCGTGGGAGGATGTGTCTCCAGATACGTTAAAAAATGCTTGACATAATTTATGGCCAGCTACCATATTTAATGGTGAGGACGATGAAGGTAATAGCTGCGAATATGAAGGTTTTCGTGCATTGCAAACTAAAGGTGAAATTTTCCAGTTATTGGATTTTGTAAAGAAATGTGGAGAAGCGGTAATAAATGAAGATGATATAACAGAAGTTTTTCATTGCAACGACAATGCCCGAATCATCAATCAACGGACGGCGAAATCTGTAGTATGGTTCTAGATCCAGAAAGTACTGCTTCCGATAGTGAAGAAAGGGACAGAGAGGTTACTGAAAATGAAAAAAATTTCGATTGACAAGTTAGTCGGTAATCTCGACACAGCAATTACAGGACTTGAACAGTGGAACTTTGTAACTGAACAAGAAATTATGTCTGTTTATAGAATTAAAGAGAAAGTATTAGCACAAAAAAAGAAGCAACTTAAGCAACTTGCATTGAAAGAAATGTTTAATAAAGTAAACACATAAATATTAAGCTTTTTTTTTTTTTTTTTTTGTAAATTTTGATATCCTTTAGATGATAATTGCTCTTTATTTCATAAATTACTCTTTCATATTTTTAATTGTGCAGTTTCTGCATACCATCTTACCAGATTTAAATTGATGATTTATAATTCAAAAAAAAAAAAAAAAAAAAAAAAAAAAAAACAATCTGGAATTCCTGAAGTCCCGACGAGTCTCGATTACGGACTTTGTACTGTATTTGAATGTTTTACTTCTGATACTAGAATCTTTTTCTCAACATGTTTATCTTCCCTTTAATTTCCCTGCTTTTCTCTAGACATAAGCATGGAAGATATCAAAAATGCTTCTAATTCTATAACATGGACAGGCATTTTAGAAAGAAATTGGAAAGATTATCTAATATGTCTTAATGCATCATACACAAGGCTAACACTAGGTATTTTCCCACCTGATTCAATCTCTGTGGATCCTAAATTCTGCTTCCAATGCCTGCTCTAAATTCTAAAAGATTTGCTATTTCTAGATTTTGTTGCTTAGTGTATCACTAAAGTCTAAAGATTCTGCTATACCAGCTCTGTACACAGCCCTTACCATATATATATATTTCATATTTCTTCTGAATGTTCATATTACTAAAGAAAGAAAATTAGCAGCTTTTTCTATACATTCTAAATGCATTTTATCTTTTTTTAGAATAACAGAAATCTTAATTAAATCCAAAAATTCTAAATTAAAAGGAAACATGTTGAAGAAAGAAACTGAATACACAACAAAAATTATTTTTCAAAGATATGTACAGTTATTATTATATAAATTACCCAGTTGTTTATAATTTCAGGCTTTACTCTACTTTCCCATTTCTATTTCCTCACCAGAATGCACATCATTTAGACAATTTTTAAACTGAGGTTTCTGAACTATAAAGACGTTCTGACCTCCACTTGCTTGCTATATTAGTTCCCACCAGCTCTGATAATTTGTAATTATTCATCTTTGCATTATCGCTGCCGACATTTGAATTTGTTATGACAATACAGTTACTGAGCCAGCTTAAATTAAAATTAAATCTTTGACCAGTAGAGCATGAGGGTTTGTTTACTTAATTAGTTTGAATTTGAATTTCCCCTTCTTGTGTAATTGCATTACCACGAGCTGTGTAATTGATTTCATTGCCTGTATGTTCGAAGTTCTTTTTAAATAAGAGGCTGATTTAAATCTTTGTCTGACTTTGTAGTTACTTTAAAACATAGAGATAGTTTGCTTCATGTCTGTCAGGAGGTATTTAACTTTTACCAGATCAAAAAATAGGTACATTGTGAAGAGTTTGACAAGTTAGGTGATAAAGCATGCAGAAACTAGTGAGAACATTGGTTTGTCTATTGAGACAAATTTCTAATTGCTAGAAAAGATACTTAAAAGAGCCAAAATGTCTGGGAAGGCTTCAAATTAAAAAGATGCATAAATATATTTTGTTGAGTGTTGTTGCTACAAAACGTAAATGTTTTCTAGCTTGTAATGTGTAATTATCCTAAATATCATTTAAGAATCAATGTCATAAATTACATGTATTTTTAACTGGGAAATTTTATTAGGTTATGATTTTAATAGGACTTTTATTAACTAATATTATTTAAAAAATAAATAAAATTTAATAGTGGCCGTGTAAATCCATAATGACCAAGGTTATCTTACTGCGTAAATTAATTATTTATAACTAACTGACCCTTAAAACTAACCCTTAAAAATTATTTGTGCATATTAAGGCAAGTTGTTGCCTTTCATTAATCTTTACCATGCTCACGGGGTAAAACACAAAAATGTAAAAATTCATGTAAAACATATTCTTTGTATCTAATGAGACTTAAAATAATACAAAACAACTTATCATCTCTGGTGCTTAGTGGCTATCGAACCTAAGTATATTAAAGGTTACAACCCCTGGAATCTAGTGAAGCTACGACACTAAGAACACTATTGTTTGATGTTTTCTGGGGTTGTGTACGCTTGACTAAAGTCTCTGTATTTTACTAACCTCTAGAAGACAGATGTAACAAAAGAGACTTAAAAAAAAAAAAAAAAAATAATGTAAATCTAACAGTTAAGTAAAAAAATATCACTATTTTTTCAAATAGTCCAAATTATAGTGTAAATATTTAATGCTACTGTAAATTTCATAAAAGTTTATTTTATTCTAAACTTATTAATAATATGTATAAATTATGTTTAATATAATGTCCTATTTACAGATATTTATTTTTATGGTAAAATAAACAGAAATTAGGATAGATAATATTTTTAATTGAATTTATTCAGCTCCCATTTGCTCATAGGTCCTTAATTTTTTTCATTAATGTTCTTTAATTGTCCTTAAAAGTACTTAATTTCCATGTGCAGAAATGTGTATGAACCTTGTTGTTATGGATAATATACTGATGTCAATTTCATTAGTAGTGTGAATAGTTTACCCCAGAATTAATACTGTTATCTGCTTTTCAAATGCTTTAAGTGTGTATTTTCCTGTATATATTTATTTCATGAATATATGAGATAAATTTAATGTTTATAATGGTCTTTGTTATTACACTTTATTTCATAGTCACAATCATATATGTTTAAAATTATTCAGTTATCCATACTTAATTTCTTATTTTTGTTTTGGGAAACTAAAAGTTGACTTTCAGTGGGAACCCTCTAAAAGCAAACATTTATTTAAAATATCTAATGAGTACTTTCTTCCCACATATATATATTAGCTCACAGCAAAGATCCAATAGCCCGTAAGCAAAGGTTAAGGAGAAAAAAAGATGATGAAGTTGATAGTGAACAAGCAAAAGTTTTGAAAGGAATGAGTGACCTAGCTAAAGATAAAAACAAAGATTTAACATTGGATGATAAAAATGTCTCTCTGAAGTAAGTTGTAATTCTTTCATATTGAAATATATAGTGTACTTAACATTCTTTTAAAATTGTGCTTAAATGCTTAAAAAAAAGGAACCAAAAGGCAAAGAGTTTTTCTGAATACATTCCTTTAATGCAAATTTATGTACAATAAATAACATTGTCCGACAAATATTCAAAATTATAAAACACAATAAAAATAAAATGAGAATCAAGTGTTTGATTACTTTTTGATGACTTAAATAAACCATTTTATGGGCGGCATTGATCTTAAAACTCGTTAAGCTTCATTTTAAATAATAATACCATTAACAATTTTAATAGAATTTGTAGAAAACTGTTAAGCTTTTGCCAAATTTTAACTGATAGTAGAAGAAAAATAGATTTTTTATAGCACTATTTAAAATAATGAAATAAATTTATGCTAAGCATTATATAAAAAGCAAAACAATCATAAGCAATGTTGATATCATTGTTCGACATATTCCATTCTTTTTTAATGAAGTGTTCTAAGCTAATTTAGAGTATATGTTGAGATCAGATCTTTGAAAATATTATTCTGAAAGGTACAGTGAAGGCTTTTGAGTTTTTATAACTACAGAAATGTATTTTAAATTTAAAAAAAAGCATAGCAGAATAAACATATATTTTGCTTTTCTTACTTCCAGCCTTGTCATTGACATATTAAGTACTGCAGTCTAGTTTTAAAAAGTGATTAGGAAAAAGTGAACTTTTTTCTTATTTTGTATGATTATTTAATTATCATTTCTCTGCTTTTTAGCAAAGATTAATGTCTAGTATATGTTCTTATCATTTCAATGGTTATTTAATTATTGGAATTTTTGTAAAGTAAAATGTTCCATTTCAGAATACGATTTCCCTCTTTCTTTATCAAAACCAGGAAATGGTAGAACACATTATATATTTCTCTGTGTTTCAATAAAATACAAGATATCAATAATATTAATGATGGATTGATCTTTTTTCAATTAATAATAAATGGAATTACAAAATGGGTTAAATTTTGTAGCTGTATTAATTTGTGTTTTTGCATTTATGATAAATTTATCACAAGATTCTAGTGATAAAAGTTTCGGGACAACAGTTCTGAGTTTATCATTACATAACAAAAATGGAATATAAATTATATGTGTGTTAATAAAATTTTGTCTGGTTATATTGTTCAGACGATAACTTTGTAACAAATTAATGATTAATATGAATTATGCTAAATTATTTAGCTGCATTCTTTGATTATTATGAGGTACTATGACTAATCCTAATAACAAATGTATGTGGAGTTTAAGAAATTTTTCATATCTTTTTTAATTAGAAATTAATTTCTGTGTATTAACATATTCAGCACAATTTTATCATAATTTGGATTAGTATTTTGAAATAATAATGCAAAGATATTAAAAGCCATCTCATTTACACTACATTAATAACAAAATCCTCATTACAGAAAGATAAAATTAAATACAGTTAGTGGTCAGAAAACTGTACACCTGTTTCAGAACTTCAGAGATTTCCTGGAAGCTTTGATAGAAAAGTATCCCATTGACAAATCTTTTAATCTCTTAAGAATGCATATATATATATATATATTATGTTATTTCTTTGGGTGTACATGTTGCTGCAATGAAATCAGGACTTAGAATTCTCACTACCTGGAAAATCAGGTTTTTTTTTTTTTAATGATCAGAAAAGTCAATGAAAATAATAAATTTTTTCAAAATATCTGGAACAAGGTTTGTTTTGTTTTGTTTTAAGGTAGTGGTGGTGGTAGTAGTAAATTTAGAAGTGCAAGATCAATTCTTCTTAGGCAATAAAAAGTTCGCATTTTATATAAAACCTGGTTTGGTTTTGGTTTTATGTGATTACGGCAAAGCCTCAAGGACTATCTACCTAAGGGATGCCTTAGGGACTTTAAGTAGAGGACTTTCTATAGGAAACTGGCTCATATACACGTTACACATGGGTAAAACCATGGAAACGCCCACACAGCCAGTCCATTCGTGGGATTCAAACCTTGAACCAAACTACAAATACAGTAACGTGTAAACAATAATTTCTTGTAATGAAGCAAAGTTGCTGTCATCTTTGTTTTTCTTGCACAAAATATTTTATTCAGTTCATATCAGTGCAATTTTATTCACCTACGTCTACTACTCTTCCTAGGGAGTTCGGTGAGAAACTACCCTCTAGTGAGCTGTTGTCCATTCTTCCTCTTTTTTCAAGCCACCATAATTCTTAACTTCTTCAGTTTTATTTAGAATGTCTTAGGGTAATTATTTTCTATGAATGATATACTGTTATTATAAATTTCTTCTTCCAGAATTAGATATTTCTTTTTAAAAAAATCGCTTTTTTAAATGATTAAATGCATGCTTCTCATATATGTGTGTATACTCATTATATGCCTATATAATATATGTGTGTGTACGTACAGGGTGTCCGAATCAAATGCATCTATTTTGAACAGTCAATTAAAAACAAAGTTTTAGCGCTACAAGAGCAATACTGGCCACATGTGGGAGCTAAATTCTTAGAGTTTGTCGACAATATTTTTTTCTTCCATCTGGCGCACCAGCGCTTTTGCTGAGCCGGCAAACAGGAAAATGGCGTCACCACAAGAAAAGGCACAAATTGGTCTCTCGTATGCAGAACACAAATCTATAGTAAAAATGCAAAGAATGTTTCTAACAGTTTATAAAAGAAATCCACTCCAGGCTAAGAGCATAAAAAAGTGGCTCAAAACGCTTCTTGAAATGGGAAGTGGATGGAAAAGATCCGGAAATGATCTGCATTCGCATTTTTATTCACGTGTGGAAGATGTTCGTTGTTCAGAGCCCTCGTCAGTTGATCAGGAAGGCAGATACTAAATCATCTATGCCATGATCAACTATTCATTATGTGCTGAATCAAAAACTGAGGATGCATGCATATAAAATGCAGATTGTGCAGAAACTGCAACCAAATGATGAGCCGCAGCATACAGCATTTGCTGTGGAGATGTTATCTCACATCGAAAATAAACATGATTTTCTAAACCGCATCTCTTTTTCAGAGGAAGTTACATTTCATGTTAGCAACAATGGTAATAACCACAACTGCAGAAAACCCCTGTTCACTACTCGAATTGGAATGTATAATATAAGACAGCCCCAAAATCAATGTCTGATGTGCTTTGTCACATGATACAGTCATAGGACCATTTTTCTTTGCTGAGACGTCTATGACTGCCAATATTTGTCTGAACATGTTACAAATTTTTGCCACCAAGATCTCCCGATGTGACTTTTCTATATTTTTCTCCTTTTGGGGCTACATGAAAGACTACTCAGGGAACATCCATGATATTGAAGACCTTCATGCCTCCATAACCATGGCTATTGCTACTGTGACTTTGGAAATGCTACACTGGACATGGTTGGAACTGAACTACCAGCTGGACATTCTCAGGCCTACAAGTGGAATTGTACTGATCGTTTAACCATTTAACTGCCGCAGAAAATATACAAGTTCACTCCCCAGAGCCACCGCTTTTTACACAGGCGCGCATATTTACGCAATCTATTAGGGGGAAAATAAGTACAAGTTTTGCTGTGTAAAAACTGTTTATTTTCTCAAAATAAAGAATAAAAGAAAAAATGAAGGTTCAAAATTTAATGTTTAGAGCAAAAGTATAATAAAAAAAGATGTAAATATAATAAAAATGATGTTTGTATAATAAAAAAGATCCCCAAAAATAGAGTTTCAATCAATTTATTTTTAGACCAGTAAAATGTAATATCAGGTTTCATTGTTATACTTTGTAAAATAGTGTACCTAACTGGAAAGTATGGAGGCAGCATAGGCAAGTTTTTCATATAAAGTGATATCCAACATCGAGCATCTTTCAAAGAATTGTTGTAATCCTGATGTAATATCATAATATAAGCATCTGATGTAATATCATATTCTGAGGTGTCTGATCCTTAAGATGATGCAAAGTAACGTCTATTTTACTGTCATGCATATTCGTAAAAAAAAGCACCTACTTCAAAACAGTAAACAAAAACGAGAGACACAGAATAAAAAAAGTATGTTTGTTTTACTCAAACAGAAACACAAGCAATAAGTGTGCAGTCATTAGTCATCACTGTCAGTTATATTCCTAAAACAAAGCACCTACCACAAATAGTAAGCGGAACGTACAGAAAATAAAAATGTATGTTTTACTCAAACAAAAAACAAGACCAGTAACCGCGCAGTCAATTACTTTCACCGTTTCAGAAACATCACCTCTCCAATTCCTTCCCTCTTCTCTGAAATAGTATCTCCTTTTGCACACTCTGTCAAGGTCATTGCGGTGTTACATTCCAAAGCTTTGCGAATAACTTTACTGGTAGCAGCACAAAGCAAATGACAGCCAGATAGCATTTCGGAAAGGCATATATATGTATATATATATATGAAGGGCATATATGTGGGAATCATGAATGCCCGATGCCAACTTAGCGAAGTACCAGCTGACGTCATCAGTATAGCTCAGCGCGAATCATCCCAGACAGAGTCAGATGGCTTCCAGACATAGATACGAGCAGACGGCTCGTATGCCTTCAACAGTTGAAGAAGACAGACAGTCTTAGATCTTATTTTGGGAGTTTCGATTCTTCTTTTCATTTTCCACCTTTAGCTGTGATGACTCTAGATGATCATAGTATTTAAAACTAGCTGGGAACTATGCCGGAGGAATTCTGTGTGAAGGACTGTCTGTGATTGTGCATCATTACATGAATAATTCAACCTTTAATCTTTACTTAATTTATCATTATTACCCTTTATTTCTTATTGTTAAATAAATAAAAGCATATGTACAATGCCAAGATAGTGAGTGCTCTCCTGCTCTGATTAAAAAAAGAACTCCACACATGTATATATATATATGCCTAGGACAATTAACCCATCAGCTGAGCAAGGTGTATATATACGTCCGTGACAGTTAAAGGTTAATAAAAACTTTGTGA